CCAGCAGGGAGGGGGCCGATCAGATATCTCCACAGCCGAGGGGCCACCACTGAGAAGGTCCTGTCTCTCGTCCCCGCCAAGCACGCCTGTAATGCAGGCGGGACAGAGAGCAGGGCCTCCCCAGACGATCTTAATGTCCTAACTGGTTCATAGGAGGAGATGCATTCAGAGAGATAAGTAGGGCCAGAACTGTTTAGGGCTTTATAGGCTAAAGCCAGCACTTTGAATTGTGCTCGGTAGCAAACTAGTAGCCAGTGGAGCTGGTGCAACAGTGGAGTTATGTGCTCCCTGAGTGCCGCTCCTGTTAGCAACCTGGCTGCTGAACGCTGGACCATTTGAAGCTTCCGAGCAGTCTTCAAAGGCAGCCCCACGTAGAGAGCGTTGCAGTAGTCTAAACGGGATGTGACAAGAGCATGGACTACCGTGGCCAAGTCAGACTTCCCAAGGTACGGGCGCAGCTGGCGCACAAGTTTTAACTGTGCAAATGCTCCCCTCGTCACCGCTGAAACCTGGGGTTCCAGGCTCAACGATGAATCCAAGATCACTCCCAAGCTGCGAACCTGCGTCTTCAGGGGGAGTGTGACCCCATCCACACAGGCTGTCACCCTATACCCTGTTCGGCCTTGCGACTGACCAGGAGTACCTCTGTCTTGTCTGGATTCAATTTCAATTTGTTCGCCCTCATCCAGACCGTCACAGCGGCCAAGCACCGGTTCAGGACCTGGACAGCCTCCTTAGTAGCAGGTGGAAAGGAGTGACAGAGTTGGACATCATCTCCGTACAGATGACACCGCACCGTATGAAAATATAATACTAATAAACATCTGTATGCAAATATGCTAATAATAATCATAAACATGTTGTTGTTGTTGTTGTTCATTCGTTCAGTCGTCTCCGACTCTTCGTGACCTCATGGACCAGCCCACGCCAGAGCTCCCTGTCGGCCGTTACCACCCCCAGCATACATAAATACCTACTACCACCACTACTACCACTAATAATAATAATAATAATACTAATACTACTACTGCTACTAATAATAATAATAATAAACACCAAATACAGCTTTATTTTATCACCCCACAAGGCTCCAGATTGTGAGAAATAGATATATTTATATGGCAGTTAATGGAAATTCAGACCAAGGGAGCATCTACACTGTGGAATTAACCCAGTTTGACTCCACTTGAACTGCCATGGCTCAAGACTGTGGAGTCTTGCTGTAGTTTAACAAGGCCTTTAGCCTGTTTCACCAAACCATGATTCCATAGCATGTTGCCATGACAGTTAAAGCGGTGCCAAACTGCATTAACTCTACAGTGTAGATGCATTGCACACAATGACAACTAGATTGACAGCTCCTTCCTTAATTCCTTCCTTCCTTCCTTCCTTCCTTCCTTCCTTCCTTCCTTCCTTCCTTCCTTCCTTCCTTCCTTCCTTCCTTCCTTCCTTCCTTCCTTCTCCTCTTCCTTCCTCAGTGAAGAATAAAACCCAAGTTTCCCAAAACTCTGTTTGCAGGTACTTGGGACTCTATTTCCCAGGATGCCGCCTCATTGGTCAAAGCAGCTGAGCCTTCTGGGAGTTGAAGTCTCAAGACTAGGAATCCGCTTTTCTACCATAAGGGGCGGGGCCTGACAGGAAAGGGCGGGGAAAGGGGCGGAGCCTCGCAATTGGCGCCAAAGTTCCAAAATGGCGGCGGAGAAGCTGCGGGGGAAAGTGGGCTCCGCCTTCAAGATGCACGGCTTGCTGCTCCGCGCGTGAGTAAACCCTTTCCTCAGGGTCGGGTGGGCGCCTCTCTCGTGGCCGTGGCAAGCGAGGAAGGCCTTCGTGGAGGAGAGAACATCTACGGCCCAGTCAAGGCCAATCTCTAAGCCCCAAGTGCTTTTGGACTTCATTTCCCAGAAGCCTCTGCCGCCCAGGCTAAGGAGAAGGCATTCTGGGAAATGGAGTCCAAAGACCTGGAAAGGCAGATCTTGGCCAATACGGAAGGAAAGCAGCCTAGACTCATGCCATCCAGTTCCAATCATCATGTTATCACCTAGTTTGCTAATCTGGATTATATGGCAGTGTAGACTCACTTAATCCTGTTCCAAGCAGATCATGTCATTATCTAGTTTACTAATATGGATTATATGGCAGTGTAGACTCATGTACCCCAGTTCCAAGCAGATCATGTCATTATCAGTTTACTAATCTAGATTATATGGCAGTGTAGACTCAATCCGAATCCAAGCAGATCATGTCATTATCTAGTTTACTAATCTGGATTATATGGCAGTGTAGACTCACTTAATCCAGTTCCAAGCAGATCATGTCATCACCTGGTTTACTAATCTGGATTATATGGCAGTGTAGACTCATGTACTCCAGTTCCAAGCAGATCATGTCATTATCTGTTTTAATAATCTGGATTATATGGCAGTGTAGACTCACGTAAGCCAGTTCCAAGCAGATTGTGTCATTATCTAGTTTAAAAATCTGGATTATATAGCAGTGTAGACTCACGTAATCCAGTTCCAAGCAGATCATGTCATTACCTAGTTTACTAACTACGGATTGGTAATATGGATGATGCAATTGGACCACGATTTTAGTTAGGAGATGTATTGGATTGTGATTTATGTGAAATATTGTGTATTATGTTTTTTACGGTTTTAATTGTATACTGTGTACTGTATATTCTGTTGTAAACCGCGTTGAGTCGCCAGTTAGGCTGAGAAACGGCGGTATACAAGGACAGTAAATAAAATAAATAAATAATCTGGATTATATGGCACTGTAGACTCATGAACTCCAGTTCCAAGCAGATCATGTCATTATCTGTTTTAATAATCTGGATTATATGGCAGTGTAGACTCATGAACTCCAGTTCCAAGCAGATCATGTCATTATCTGTTTTAATAATCTGGATTATATGGCACTGTAGACTCATGAACTCCAGTTCCAAGCAGATCATGTCATTATCTGTTTTAATAATCTGGATTATATGGCAGTGTAGACTCATGAACTCCAGTTCCAAGCAGATCATGTCATTATCTGTTTTAATAATCTGGATTATATGGCAGTGTAGACTCATGAACTCCAGTTCCAAGCAGATCATGTCATTATCTGTTTTAATAATCTGGATTATATGGCAGTGTAGACTCATGAACTCCAGTTCCAAGCAGATCATGTCATTATCTGTTTTAATAATCTGGATTATATGGCAGTGTAGACTCATGAACTCCAGTTCCAAGCAGATCATGTCATTATCTGTTTTAATAATCTGGATTATATGGCAGTGTAGACTCATGAACTCCAGTTCCAAGCAGATCATGTCATTATCTGTTTTAATAATCTGGATTATATGGCAGTGTAGACTCATGAACTCCAGTTCCAAGCAGATCATGTCATTATCTGTTTTAATAATCTGGATTATATGGCAGTGTAGACTCATGAACTCCAGTTCCAAGCAGATCATGTCATTATCTGTTTTAATAATCTGGATTATATGGCAGTGTAGACTCATGAACTCCAGTTCCAAGCAGATCATGTCATTATCTGTTTTAATAATCTGGATTATATGGCAGTGTAGACTCATGAACTCCAGTTCCAAGCAGATCATGTCATTATCTGTTTTAATAATCTGGATTATATGGCAGTGTAGACTCATGAACTCCAGTTCCAAGCAGATCATGTCATTATCTGTTTTAATAATCTGGATTATATGGCAGTGTAGACTCATGAACTCCAGTTCCAAGCAGATCATGTCATTATCTGTTTTAATAATCTGGATTATATGGCACTGTAGACTCATGAACTCCAGTTCCAAGCAGATCATGTCATTATCTGTTTTAATAATCTGGATTATATGGCAGTGTAGACTCATGAACTCCAGTTCCAAGCAGATCATGTCATTATCTGTTTTAATAATCTGGATTATATGGCACTGTAGACTCATGAACTCCAGTTCCAAGCAGATCATGTCATTATCTGTTTTAATAATCTGGATTATATGGCAGTGTAGACTCATGAACTCCAGTTCCAAGCAGATCATGTCATTATCTGTTTTAATAATCTGGATTATATGGCAGTGTAGACTCATGAACTCCAGTTCCAAGCAGATCATGTCATTATCTGTTTTAATAATCTGGATTATATGGCAGTGTAGACTCATGAACTCCAGTTCCAAGCAGATCATGTCATTATCTGTTTTAATAATCTGGATTATATGGCAGTGTAGACTCATGAACTCCAGTTCCAAGCAGATCATGTCATTATCTGTTTTAATAATCTGGATTATATGGCAGTGTAGACTCATGAACTCCAGTTCCAAGCAGATCATGTCATTATCTGTTTTAATAATCTGGATTATATGGCAGTGTAGACTCACGTAAGCCAGTTCCAAACAGATCATGGAATTATCTAGTTTAATAATCTGGATTATATGGCAGTGTATTTATTTATTTATTTACTGCGCTTATATACCGCAATTCTCAGCCCAAGGGCGACTCATTGCGGTGTACAACATGAAAAAACAGGTGCAATTTACAAAACATAGTGCAAAATAATCCACAATTCATCATTATCAGAAAAACATCTTATCAAAACAACAACATTACTACAAAATTTCTACTACATTCCAATCGTCTCATCGTCAAGCCACAATCCGATATCATTTCCGTTGTTCAATTCCTATGGTCAAATTACCAGTCATTGCACTTCTTATTCAAACGCCTTCTTAAACAGCCAGGTCTTTAACATCCTGTGGAATATCAAGAGGGAGGGAGCAAGCCTAATGTCCACGGGAAGGGCGTTCCACAGCCGAGGAGCCACCACCGAGAAGGCCCTATCTCTCGTCCCCGCCAGCCGTGCCTGTGACGCAGGCGGGATCGAGAGCAGGGCCTCCCCGGAAGATCTCAAGTCCTCGTGGGCTCATAGGCCGAGAGGCGGTCAGTTAGGTATCTTGGGCCGGAACTATTTAGGGCTTTATAGGCCAATGCCAGCACTTTGAATTGAGCCCGGTAGCAGATTGGCAGCCAGTGGAGCTGGTACAGCAGGGGAGTTGTATGCTCCCTGCGTCCCGCTCCTGTTAGTATCATGGCTGCCGCGCGTTGGACTAGTTGAAGCTTCCGAGCCGTCTTCAAAGGCAACCCCACGTAGAGAGCGTTGCAGTAGTCAACGGGATGTAACCAGAGCGTGTACTACCGTGGCCAAGTCAGACTTCCCAAGGTACGGGCGCAGCTGGCGCACGAGCCTAAGCTGTGCGAATGCTCCCCTGGTCACCGCCGAAACCTGGGGTTCCAGGCTCAGCGATGAATCCAGGATCACACCCAAGCTGCGAACCTGCGTCTTCAGGGGGAGTGCGACCCCATCCAACACAGGCTGTAACCCTATGCCCTGTTCGGCCTTGCGACTGACCAGGAGTACCTCTGTCTTGTCTGGATTCAATTTCAATTTGTTCGCCCTCATCCAGACCGTCACAGCGGCCAAGCACCGGTTCAGGACCTCGACAGCCTCCTTAGTAGCAGGTGGAAAGGAGTGACAGAGTTGGACATCATCTGCGTACAGATGACACCGTACCCCGAAACTCCGGATGATCTCACCCAGCGGCTTCATGTAGATATTAAACAGCATGGGGGACAGTATTGAGCCCTGAGGAACCCCACACGACAAGGGTTGTGGGGTTGAACAGGTGTCTCCCAATAACAATTATGTGTGTAGACTCACATAATCCAGTTCCAAGCAGATCATGTCATTATCTAGTTTAATAATCTGGATTATATGGCAGTGTAGACTCACATAATCCGGTTCCAAGCAGATCATGTCATTATCTAATTTAATAATCTGGATTATATAGCAGTGTAGACTCACTTAATCCTGTTCCAAGCAGATCATGTCATTACCTAGTTTAATAATCTGTTGAAATTGTCCACATGCTTGTGGATTTCGCCTTCGACAATAATAATAATAACCATCATCATCTGCCATAAATCTGCACTGTAGATGCACACAATGACAACTAGACTGACAGGTTATTCACACTTTGGGTATTTCTTCTTCTTCTCTCTTCCGTTAGTGAAGCTGCTAAATATCTCACAGAAGCTCTTCAAACAGCTAATGAAGTCGAGCTGGAAGACATGATAGAAAATATAATCGACGCTGTCGAAAAACAGCCTTGTAAGTAATACCTTCTGTTTTCTACAATGGTTTAAGAAGGAAAGGGTGGGATACTTAACGTTTCTGTGGCTTCTGCTGGGATTTGTGATTGTAAACTGGGTTTTGTCATAAGCTTTTTAAGCGTGCTCCTCAATAACTACATAGGAAACCATTTTGTATTTTTACATTCTTCTTTTCAGTGACATGTAACATGATTGAAAAGTCCATGGTGGAAGCAGCCGTTCTGGAGTGCAGCCAGTCTGTAGACGAAACCATGTATGTTTACATTCGTTTACTTCAAACAAGCAGGAGCTTTTGATGCAGTCTAGTTTGGTTGATTGTCTTGTTGACTTCCATTACTTTGATGGGCTGATATTTCAGATGTTAGTGTCATTAATATTCATGTACACCAGGCATGGGGAAATTTCGGCCCTCCTTCCAGGTGCTTTGGACTTCAACCCCCACAATAACTTGTGAGAGCTGATAGGCTGTTAGGAGTTGTGAGAGTCCAAAAACCCCTGCAGGGAGGGCTGAGGTTTGCCCATACCTGCTGTAGTGTAATGTCAGGATTAATTTGGCACACATTCATTGATTCTTTTGCATAAGCAGCTAAATAATGTGTAGAGGGGTTGGCAGAATTTCCTGCAAATCCAAAGATTGGGAGTTTATTGTTCAAATAATGTTGTCTTTGGATTAGTGAAGGCTTTCATGGCCAAAATCATTGGATTGATGTGAGTTTTCCAGGCTGGCCATGTTCCAGAAGCATTCTTTCCTGACGTTTCACCTGCATCTATTTATTTGTTTGTTTGTTTACGACTTTTATATGCCACCCTTCTCACCCAGAAGTGGACTCAGAGTGGCTTACAAGAGATATATACTGTTTCAAGATTGGGAAAGGCGTACGGCAAGGCTGCATACTCTCACCCAACCTTTTTAACTTGTATGCAGAACACATCATGCGAGGATGTGCGGGGCTTGAGGAATGCAAAGCTGGGGTGGAAATGGCTGGAAGAAACATTAACAACCTCAGATATGCAGATGACACCACTCTGATGGCCGAAAGCGAGGAGGAGCTGAGGAGCCTTCTAATCAAGGTGAAAGAAGAAAGCGCAAAAGCCGGGTTGCAGCTAAACATCAAAAAAACCAAGATCATGGCAACAAGAATGATTGACAACTGGGAAATAGAGGGAGAAAATGTGGAGGCCGTGACAGACTTTGTATTTCTTTTTTTTTTTTTTAAATATTTTTATTAAGCTTTTAATTACAAATATACATATATAAAAAAGGGGGGGTCAATAAGGGTTCGGGGGAGGGATAGTAGGTGAGTGAGGTTTGTGAAGGTATGTATATCTTCACAAAGTCTGGACTTCCGGTAGTGGCAAGATGGCGGACGGAGCAAACCTGTGACGCTCGTTGTAGGTTTGCCCCCTCGAAAAACCTCTGGGGAGTTGCCCCCCCCCCCGCCCCGTGGAGTTAACGGGGCAGTATAGACCCCCAGACTCGCACCTCGGAGGGGTGCCCTCCCCCAAGAAGTCTGGAAGGTTGAGGTTCCGAGTGGGAGGTCTGACCGAGGCTAAACCGGGCGGAGGACAGACCAGAACGCCAGCCACTATTTTATAACTTCACAGCACCGAAGAAAAAGAGTTGCAAAGAAGTCTGTGTAAGGATCCAAAAAGAAGAGAAGAGAATAGGGGGAAAGAAAGAATAGACACAACTGAACACAACTGAATGCAACCGAAGACAAAGAAGGTAGGACAACAATATAACAATTATAACAATAACAAGAAAACAAGAAAAGCAATAATGATAGGAAGAAGGAAGAAGGAAAAATAAGTGACTGAAAAAATAAATGACTGAAAATAATCCAATAAGCAAACTTAAGCTTAAGATCTAAATGATAGTAATATAGTCAGAATGAAACAGCTGAGACGGGAAGCTAATTAAAACTGTGGAGGAAGGAAAGACTGGAGCGGACCGGGGAAACAAGGAGGCAAAGACGCGGAGGACCTAAAGAAGGACAAAGAAGAATTCAACCCTAACACCCTCAATACCTCCCAAATCTCCCCCCCCCCCCCCTACATCTGAACCCAGTTGCAGCCGTGACATACTTATGTGCGAGGCGGAAGAGGAAAACAGACAATAGAACCCTCTACAACTGGCGCTCCTTGCGCTCCCTGCGCAAAAAGCTGAGCGGAGCACTCACACAGTCTTCAAGAGTTTGAGGACTCACCATTGCCCTTCAATCCCATCCTTGCCGAGACCGAGGGACCCGCAGGGTGAGGCGCGCGCCGAAGGGCGTCCGCCTCCCTCAAGGGCCAGAGGAAACTGAGAAGGTGAGAGGAAAGGAGGGACGACAGTGGAAATCTCGCGAGAAGAGACGAAAAGAGGCGAGAAGAGGTGAGATTGCGAAATAGCGCGGGAGACCAGGACATAAACAAAGAAATTGAACTATAAAAGTCAGAAAAACCCGAGAACAGACCCATTACAAAGAAGGAGAGGAAAGAAAGAATGAACTAAAGGAGAAGGGTTAGGGAAAATACATAAAAAACACAGAAATAGGGAGTAGCGCCAGTGGAGGGTGATAGAAGGCTGAAGATCTAGAAGGAGAAGAAGAACTTAAGAAAAGGAAAAAGAGGAGGGGGGAGAAGGAAGAGGTTGAAAGGAAGAAAAAAGGGGAAGGACCGCAAAAAGTAAAGGACCTCTATCAAAAAACTCCGTTATGGTTTTCCCCCAATGAAGCCAGTCAAATTAAAGGAACAGCTAGAGAAATACTGTTGACATATAAAGAAATATTAGAGAATTCACCCCAAGGATATCGAATTAAAACCCAAGAAGAACTAAGACTCTACGACCCCACACTCTCCTGGTACCAGTATTACCAAATAAGAGAGAGCTACAATAGAGACAAAATGATAGGCTTTCAAAAAGAAGATACGATATGTGAGAAAATGCTAAAGACCGACAAAAAACACATCAAAAAAGCTTACCAGCAACTACTAACATGGGAAACAGAAAAAGACCAAATAAAGGTTAATATGATTAGATGGGCCCAAGATATCGGCCGTCCCATTAAACTAGAAGAATGGGAGGAAATATGGATAAAAAAGCTAAAGCTTACGTATGCTAACGAGATCAAGGAAAACTGGTACAAGCTTTTTTTCAGATGGTATCTAACACCAGAGCAGATAGCCAAGTTTAGTAATGGAAAGATAGAGGGGAGATGCTGGAAATGCCAGGGAGCTAATGGAAGTTTCATGCACATGTGGTGGAGGTGTAAAAGAATTAAAACCTTCTGGCGTCAGGTCTGCAACGAGATAGGAAAGATCCTACAAATAAAGATCAAATTAAAGCCAGAATATTTTCTATTGGGAATCATAGATTTTAAGCTGGAAAATAACGAAAACAAGATTCTGTTTTATCTCTCCACAGCTGCCCGAATTCAAATAGCAAAATACTGGAAATCGAAAGAGATACCGACGATGGAAGATTGGATTTTAAAAGCATATGACATAATGAATATGGATTTACTGACAAAGAAACTATCAAGTAATTCAGATAAAACCAAGAACACAGACTGGGATAAATTCTTGAACTACCTCAAAAACACAAAGAGCTGAGAGAAAAGAAGATCAACTACAGTCTACTAAAAAGGAAGACACAGAAAATAAGATATACATACCTTCACAAACCACTTTGTATTTCTAGGTGCAAAGATGACTGCAGATGCAGACTGTGGCCAGGAAATCAGAAGACGCTTCCTTCTTGGGAGGAGAGCAATGTCCAGTCTCGATAAAGTAAAGAGTAGAGACATCAGACTGGCAACCAAGATCCATTGCCTAGTCAAAGCCATGGTCTTCCCTGTAGTCACCTACGGATGTGAGAGCTGGACCTCAGGGAAGGCTGAGCGAAGGAAGAGAGATGCTTTTGAGCTGTGGTGTTGGAGGAAAGTGCTGAGAGTGCCTTGGACTGCGAGAAGATCCAACCAGTCCATCCTCCAGGAAATAAAGCCCGGCTGCTCATTGGAGGGAAGGAGACTAGAGACAAAGTGGAAGTCCTTTGGCCACATCATGAGGAGACAGCAAAGCCTAGAGAAGACAATGATGCTGGGGAAAGTGGAAGGCAAAAGGAAGAGGGGCCGACCAAGGGCAAGATGGATGGATGGCATCCTTGAAGTGACTGGACTGACCTTGAAGGAGCTGGGGATGGTGACGGCCGACAGGGAGCTCTGGCGTGGGCTGGTCCATGAGGTCACGAAGAGTTGGAGACGACTGAACGAATGAACTACAACATAATATATTATTAGCATAGGACAATATCAGTATTAAATATTACTATATTGTACTATACCATTACATTGTAATATTATTAGTAATATTACATGTAATATAAATATATAATTATAATATCATATTACTATTATTGGAGCCCCCAGTGACGCAGTGGGTTAAACCCCTGTGCCAGCAGGACTGAAGACCGACAGGTCGCAGGTTCGAATCTGGGGAGAGTGTGGATGAGCTCCCTCTATCAGCTCCAGCTCCTCATGCAGGGACATGAGAGAAGCCTCCCACAAGGATGATAAAAACATCAAAATCATCCGGGCGTCCCCTGGGCAACGTCCTTGCAGACGGCCAATTCTCTCACACCAGAAGTGACTTGCAGATTCTGAAGTCTCTCTTGACACGACAAAAAAAATACTATTATTAGTATTATATTGCATATATATCTATGGCAGGCATCCTCAGAACTTGTGAGGTCTGTATGGCTCTACCAGAGAAGTCAGCCATAGCAGAGCCCTTGATGAACCAACCTGGACACAGCATATTATTTGAGAACACAGAAATACTGAACCACTCTCACAACCATTATGTCAGGCTACACAGAGAAGTCACGGAAATCCACAAGAAGCATGTGGACAATTTCAACAGAAAGGAGGAAACCATGAAAATGAAAACAATTCGTGACCAATATTTTTTAAAAAAACAACAACTCTAAAATCATATCAGTAAATAAAGAACAACACTCAAAAACAGGGGAATTCCAGACAAGAAACAATCAGGACCAGTTAATCACTGTCAGTGACATCAGCAGCACAACAAGACAGGAACAGATCAATCACAGTCACCTAGGCTACAAAAATGACTTTATTCTTACAGCTATATACATTAGAAGCTACTTAACACCCAACACATCATAAACTTGCTTCTTTACAGTCCAATCATAACATCACGAACTCTTCAACTGTTATCAGTACTAGTCCACACCTCCTGCATTCCAGCTGCTTCCATTTGTTCTACACACTTGATTTATGACATCTCTAGGAATGTGGTTCCCTCCATGGTTCAGTTAACTCTTTCCACACAGGAATACATTACACTCGCCACATAGCTACTGCATTTTAAACATACATGCATACTTTGAAATCTACATTATAAATTGCAAACAGCCTCAACAATCACCTCCCAACAAAGGATTCTCCCGGGGAGTAAGAAGCCAGACCTTGAAACTGCTAGGCCATTAAATGCTAATTAAGGTGACCAATTGAAAAATTCACACCTACCTCAACAGACAAGAGTTGTTTCTCCCACCCTGGACATTATTCCAGAGATATAAACCAAATTTTCCTAGTTCCAACAGACCTCACAACCTCTGAGGATGCCTGCCATGGATGCAGGCAAAACTTCAGGAGAGAATGCTGCTCGAAAATAGCCATATAGCCCAGAAAACTCACAATAACCCAATGTAGTCTTTTGTAACTCAGCAGTCATCTCTGATTTAAAGCAAGTTGGTGATCCTGGCTTAGATAGAAACAGCCGTTGAATGGTAATTCCAGGTTCAGACATGTTTCTGCCTTCTGTGTTCATTTCAAATTATTCAATTGCATCTGTAGAAACAAGAATACTGTACCAAATTATTTTTCATGATTTTTGTCCCCCAAATAAAGCTTTCCAATATCTTTCCTTGTGCATATGATTTCTCCACAGGGAACACATCTTCAACATCATCGGAGCTTTTGATATCCCGCGATATGTTTACAATTCGGAGAGAAAGAAATTTCTACCGTAAGTTTTTGCTTTGTAAGTTTGGATCCCAAGCCAATTTACATTTCATAGAATCACTAGCTGCCCCTGCCAGGCGTTGCTGTGGCCCAGTCTGTTGATCTGGGAAATAAAGTAATGAGAAAGTGTTGGTTTCTAATATATGTAATCTTTTAAGCTTGTGGGTAAACAGCATTTCTTGCTGTTTCTTTGTCAGTGTTGATGTGGAGAGTGTCTGCTTTGCCCACCCTGGAACATGCAAGATATCCTTCTTTAGGGGTCCCTTTCAAATCTATGATACTATATCTGTGTGTGAATCATATCTATCTATATCTATCTATCTATCTATCTATCTATCTATCTATCTATGGCTGGATGGCTCTTTGTCAGGAGGACTTTGATTACGTTTTCTTGCCCTGATGAAGGGAGTTGGATTGGATGGCCTTAAGTATTTTCTGTTGGTCATGGGGGTTCTGTGTGGGAAGTTTGCCCCGATTCTGTCGTTTGTGGGGTTCAGAATGCTCTTTGATTGTAGGTGAACTGTGAATCCCAGTGACTACAACTCCCAAATGTCAAGGTCCATTTCCTCCAAACTCCATCTGTGTTCATATTTGGACATTTTGTATTTGTGCCAAGTTTGGTCCAGATCCATCATTGTTTGAGTCCACAGTGCTCTCTGGATGTAGGTGAACTACAACTCCCAAATTCAAGGTCAATGCCCACCAAACCTTTCCAGTATTTTCTGTTGGTCAAGGGAGTCCTGTGTGCCAAGTTTGGTTCAATTCCATCGTTGGTGGAGTTCAGAATGCTATTTGATTGTAGGTGAACTATAAATCCCAGCAACTACAACTCCCAAATGACAAAATCATAATTTTTTGAGTGATGGTCACTCCTTGTGTTGTGAGATTTTGTTGCCAAATTTGGTGTGATTTCGTTCATTGGTTCTTTTGTTTTTTAGGTACTCATTATGCACAGAGCATTTATATATATATAGTCATATAATAGAATCATAGAATCAAAGAGTTGGAAGAGACCTCATGGGCCATCCAGTCCAACCCCATTCTCCAAGAAGCAGGAATATTGCATTCAAATCACCCCTGACAGATGGCCATCCAGCCCCTGTTTAAAAGCTTCCAAAGAAGGAGCCTCCACCACACTCCGGGCAGAGAGTTCCACTGCTGAACGGCTCTCACAGTCAGGAAGAATATACTAGCAGATCTGTTCAAGAGTGGAATATGCTGCCTTGGAGTCTGGTGGAGTCTCATTCAGTGGAGGCTTTTAAACAGAAGCTGGATGGCCATCTGTCAGGAGGGCTTGGATTGTATTTCCTACATGAGCATAAATCTGCTCTAAAGAAAGCTTAAGAGAGTACTGGTCTGAGTGTTGGAGTCCATGGCTCAAATGGCCACCCGCTGTTAAAACCCGCGGGGGACTTTAGGCAGGTCACACTCTCTCAGCTTCAGAGGAAGGCAGTGACCAACCTCCTCGGAATAACTTTGGAGTGAATTGTGTTGGGAGTTTCTGGGATTGGGTTGCTGTAAATTGGGTTCAGGTTGAAGACCCCAAACAAGGAGTAGAGGTTTTCATGTTTCTGTTTTTGTGGGACCCCATTTCACCCAAGTCTGTACAATGTTTCTTTCAGCCTCTCGATGACCAGCCACCCTCCGCCCAGTCTGTTAGGCTCTGCCAGGGATAAAGCAGAATTATTCCGGGAGCGTTATGTCATCTTGCAGCAGGTGAGGTAAAAAAGACTAAGGAGATTTAGTCCATTTTGTGCTGTGAAAGGTTACTTTGTTGGACAACCGCTCCCATCATCCCCGGACAGTATTGCCAGCAGCCTGTTATTTAATTGAAAAACTTAATTCTTCCAACATCTGATTTATAGCTTTAGAAAGTCCCACGAGTTCAGAAATATGTGGACAGAGTTTGGAATCGGGACGTGAAGTTATATGACTCTCCCTCCCAAGGGAAACACTCATAGATAATAGATTTGTATTTGTGGGGAAATCTCACTACGGATAGGAAATATTTTCTCTCAAAATGAAAAGTTGCCTTAATTTGAAAACAAAGGAGAGAAATAAATATATCATCAAATATAGGGCTGCAGTGATCCTCATTTTGATCTTGCTGCTGTTTGATGTTACCAGACCAAGGCTGGATCTACATTGCCAAAATGAAGCAGGCTTTTTTTCTTCCCCTGAGCAATTGCTCAAAGGCTCAGCCAAAATGCTCCGTTTCAGTTCAATTGCGGACGCAGATGAGTCAGGAAAAACAGCCAACTGGGTTCAGCAAGAATATCAAAGTTTATTTTGTATAGCAGCTGCTAGTTGGCTTTCCGACGCAACAAGGCGTCTCTGGGGAAAGTCACACCAGCACAAAGAGTTAGAGTTATTTTTATACATACAAAGGGGTTCGGCCTTAAGAGCCGCCCCAAAGATTAAATCATTGGTTAAAAGAGCTGTCAATATTATACATACGTTAAGCAATTAGATCATACACTTTTTAAGTTTCGTTTCCCAATAAGCAAGCCCCTTTTTGGAAACATCTCAAGATGCTGATATGCAAAATACAGCTGGGGACATCTGCTAATCTGGCAAAGTCAGCACTGATCTGGCAGAGTCAGCACTGTCTCTTGACCGATACTTCACCCTTGCACAAAAAACTTCTCTTTGGCACAAAACCCGTCTTTGTTTCCCATATATGGTCAAGTCCATATCCGTTCTCCTTTCTACATGAAGACTCCGGCATTTTGTAAAACTAAAGCTATACCTTCTGAAGAGCCCACAGAACAAAATTGAGGGGTATTTGCCATCACAACTATTAGGTCAACTGATCTGAAAAATATGGGATCTGATCCTGCCTTAATATAATGCAGTTTGGGATTGCATTATGTAAATCTACGCTGACCATACCATCTGCATTATATGACAGTGTAGATCCAGCCTTAGTCTGCAAACCAAAACATATCCCTTAGGAAGTATGTTCTATTGAAACCTGGTGGGATTTATTTCCAAGTGAGTGTGCATAGGACCACGCCATGAATCAGGATAGCTGTGCCGGGCTGCAATTTAGCAGTAAAAAACCTAGAAGTAATCTTACATTGTGGTATAACCTTCCATGGTGTAGAAGGGAATTCTGAAGGCTGACCACAGAATTGCATTGGAGGACCTAGAGACTCCTAGAGAGGTTTTGTTAATCTTATGGTTATGTTTTTTACTTTGTATGTTTTGTGATGTTACTTGGGAACCGCTCTGAGACCCCTCGTGGAGATGGAGCAGTATATAAATAAAGTTTTTTTATTATTATCATTATTATTGTTGTTGAAATTAATTTTTATTGAAATAGAGTAAGAATATAATATCCATGTAAAGAGGGGGAACATAGTGTTTATAAGAAAAGTAGGAAAAATAGAAAAATAGTTAGAATGGGAAAGGTCAAAAAGGGGAAAGTAAAAAAGGGTGAAAAAAAAAAGAGAAAAATTAAAAATAATATAAAATAAAAAGTCCGGCAACTTCCTTCTAATTCTGCACGTATTTCCAATTTATTGTCTATACACTCCTCCCAGTCTAACAATATCCACTTCTATGCTTCTTAAAAGTAAGTGCTGGCGTTGGCCTTTAAAGCCCTAAACGGTTCCGGCCCAAGCTACCTATCTGACCGCATCTCTGCCTATGAACCCACCAGGAGTTTGAGATCTTCCGGGGAGACCCTGCTCTCGATCCCGCCTGCTTCTCAAGCTCGGCTGGCGGGGACGAGAGATAGGGCCTTCTCGGTGGTGGCTCCTCGGCTGTGGAACGCCCTTCCTACGGACATTAGACTAGCACCATTTCTAATGGTATTCCGCAAAAAAGTGAAGACCTGGCTGTTTGAGCAGGCGTTCCAATAATGAGTGCAATGATTGGTTAATGAACACTGGAATGGAACAATGGATGACGAATCTGGAACATGTTTTTGATGACGAGACGACAGTGAATGGGTATTGTAGTAACTGTTTATTAATTGTGTAATGTGTTAGGTTGTTAACTGTTTTTATACTGTAGCACTGAATTTTTGCTGTTCGTATTTGTTGTGAACCGCTGTGAGTCGCCTTCGGGCTGAGAACAGAGGTATATAAGTAAGTAAATAATAAATAAATAAGTCCAGTTACATATCCTTGTATCTTCTTCCAATATAGTCCTCAATTAATGACCAATTTGTTTGTTTAACCAGATTGCCTGTATTTCTTTTTAATAGAAAAGTTAGTATATCCATGTCTTTAATTTCGTTTATCTTTTTTATCCAGTGGTCCTTCTCGGGTATTTCCTTTTGCTTAGTATTATTATTATTATTATTCACCTGAAATCTCTAGTTCCTCCAGGAAAATACAGAATTTGTCAAACAGAATATGGGCTTGTAACCCTATTGGAAAAGTTAAGACTGACAAAAGGACGCGTTTGAAAATACATGTGCAAAAATAATATTGAATCTAAGGCAACAAAATAACCAAGAAAAATTGCGGATGGACGATCAGAAAAACACCTCCCAACAATATATATATATATCACACTCCATAACACGATTTTTGTTTTTGTGAATTATAAACATCATTTCCTAAATTGGTTCTATCATAAAAACATGGAAAATATTTATTAAACTGCAAAAACATTGTTTTTTTGTAGGAAGGACATCCTGCAGCACATTTTGCTCTAGTTTTCCAATGACTGTCTCAACCCATTCAATCTAGTTTCGGGCAGCCACAAAAACAAAAAAAGTTTCTGGAGGGGAACAATGACTTTCAAAGTAAGGACTGCACAATTAAACAGGAAATAACTCTTTCAAACCAGGAACAGAACGTTTTTCAAATTTTGTTACATAGTGTAATGGATGAAATTAGAATAATTAGAATCATAGAATCCAAGAGCTGGAAGAGACCTCATGGGCCATCCAGTCCAACCCCATTCTGCCAAGAAGCAGGAATATTGCATTCAAATCACCCCTGACAGATGGCCATCCAGCCTCTGTTTAAAAGCTTCCAAAGAAGGAGCCTCCACCACACTCCGGGGCAGAGAGTTCCACTGCTGAACGGCTCTCACAGTCAGGAAGTTCTTCCTCATGTTCAGATGGAATCTCCTCTCTTGTAGTTTGAAGCCATTGTTCCATTGAGTCCTAGTCTCCAAGGAAGCAGAAAACAAGCTTGCTCCCTCCTCCTCCCTGTGGCTTCCTCTCACATATTTATACAGAAGTGACAGAACTGTATTTGTGTAAAGCCGTATGCGTGAGGGGGGTGGATACCTGAGAATAGATGGTGTAATCGTGCAAATGTATTGTGTTAAAATGTTTTGTGGGTTTTGAAATAAAATTTAATTTAAAATACAACAACAATCCTCTTCACTCTTTGCAGAGAACCCACAGGCATGAATTGTTCACACCGTCGGCTATCGGTGCGCTCCCAGAGGAAGGCAGGAGTAAATTCCAGGTAAATAGAGCATGTTCCTATCATGCAGGATGGGGTGGTTTCCTATTGTTTTCATATGGGTGCTAGTGTGTGTGGGGGGGGGGGGGGGGGGGGGGGAGAGAATCAGGGAAAATATTAGAAATATTATTATGAAATATTATATGTAACTATCCATTTTAAAACCTGGTCCAGGCAGCTTTAATTTATTTATTGCATTTTGATTCCAGCTCAAAACCATAGAGACTCTCCTGGGCAGCTCAGCCAGAATTGGGGAAGTGATCGTCCTTGGGATGATAACGCAGCTGAAGGAGGTGAGCTCTGTGGACGGATGAGTGATGATAGGATTTTGTGTTCGATCAACCGAGAGAGAGGAAAGGGTGATTTGCCAAATTCCTTTGTGAATTAGATGTTGAAAGAAACCAGAGTAACAACAGATTCATTTGCACTTCCAAGGGGTATAACGAAATGGGATAGTTTTATCTTAATTGCTTGTATCTGTATTTTTAAGGGCAAGTTTTTCTTGGAAGACCCCACCGGCATTGTCCAGCTGGACATCAGTAAAGCAATATCCTTTCTGTGTGTGTCCACTAAGAACAATGACTTCTCAGGCTGGATCCACGCTGTCCTTATATCCCAGGATATAAGGACGGAAAAGTAATGCTACACCTCTATTCCGCTTTGGTTAGACCACACCTGGAATATTGTGTCCAATTCTGGGCACCACAATTCAAGAGAGATATTGACAAGTTGGAATGTGTCCAGAGGAGGGAGACTAAAATGATCAAGGGTCTGGAGAACAAGCCCTATGAGGAGCGGCTTAAGGAGCTGGGCATGTTTAGCCTGAAGAAGAGAAGGCTGAGAGGAGATATGATAGCCATGTATAAATATGTGAGAGGAAGCCACAGGGAGGAGGAGGGAGCAAGCTTGTTTTCTGCTTCCCTGGAGACTAGGACGCAATGGAGGAATGGCTTCAAACTACAAGAGAGGAGATTCCATCTGAACATGAGGAAGAACTTCCTGACTGTGAGAGCCGTTCAGCAGTGGAACTCTCTGCCCCGGAGTGTGGTGGAGGCTCCTTCTTTGGAAGCTTTTAAACAGAGGCTGGATGGCCATCTGTCAGGGGTGATTTGAATGCAATATTCCTGCTTCTTGGCAGAATGGGGTTGGACTGGATGGCCCATGAGGTCTCTTCCAACTCTGATTCTATGATTCTAATGATTCTAATTTCATCCATTACATTATGTAACAAAATTTGAAAAACGTTCTGTTCCTGGTTTCAAAGAGTTATTTCCTGTTTAATTGTGCAGTCCTTACTTTGAAAGTCATTGTTCCCCTGCATCAATAGGAGCATAGTGTCTAGATCCAGGGAAGTCATGCTCCCCATGCTCTATTCCGCTTTGGTTAGACCACACCTGGAATATTGTGTCCAATTCTGGGCACCACAATTCAAGAGAGATATTGACAAGCTGGAATGTGTCCAGAGGAGGGCGACTCAAATGATCAAGGGTCTGGAGAACAAGCCCTATGAGGAGCGGCTTAAGGAGCTGAGCATGTTTAGCCTGAAGAAGAGAAGGTTGAGAGGAGACATGGTAGCTGTGTATAAGTATGTGAGAGGAAGCCACAGGGAGGAGGAGGGAGCAAGCTTGTTTTCTGCTTCCTTGGAGACTAGGACGCAATGGAACAATGGCTTCAAACTACAAGAGAGGAGATTCCATCTGAACATGAGGAAGAACTTCCTGACTGTGAGAGCCGTTCAGCAGTGGAACTCTCTGCCCCGGAGTGTGGTGGAGGCTCCTTCTTTGGTAGCTTTTAAACAGAGGCTGGATGGCCATCTGTCAGGGGTGATTTGAATGCAATATTCCTGCTTCTTGGCAGAATGGGGTTGGACTGGATGGCCCATGAGGTCTCTTCCAACTCTTGGATTCTATGATTCTATGATCCCAGATTATCTATTTTAAACTGGGAGGCTAATTTAACTAATTTACGACGCCATAAAAAAATCTCCAGCAAGCATGCAAAGAATGAGGAAGTACTTCATCAGTGTCACAAATGGACGGTGAAGCAACAGCTCCCCTGGTGGCCAGAATACCCTCACGAAAAGCTGGAATGTTAAATAGCCTCTGTGTCCCTGTTTATATATGTTGTGTGTCTATGGCACTGAATGTTTGCCATGCATATGTACATTGTAATCCGCCCTGAGTCTCCTGTGGGGTGAGGAGAAGGGCGGAATATAAATACTGTAAATAAATAAATAAATACACTGGCAGATAATCTGGGATAAAAAATAATCTGGGAACAGATCCTGGTATATAGAGCAGTGTAGATCCAGCCCTATTTCCATTTATATTTTCTACTGGGTGTCTTACAGTTTTCTTTCCATATATTGTGGATTCATTATTTCATCAATGAGAATCTGGTCTCAAAGGCCCCTTCTACACTGTTCTGCTTTGCACTGGATTATATGGCAGTGTAGACTGATATAATCCAGTTCTAAACAGATAATGTGGATTATCTGCTTTGATAATCTGGATTACATAGCAGTGTAGAAGGGGCCTAAGTTTATGTTTACATGGCGAGTCATAATTTGCAGACTCCCTCTCTGTTTACCAAAATTAATAGATGGTATTGTGAAGTTGTGATTTATGTTGTTTTGTTTATTGTTTTATGTTATTGTTTTTAGACTTTTTGTATTTTTTGTACTTTTTGTATATTGTGTTTTTGCATCTTTGAGTGCTGTGTGAGAAATCCATGTTGTCACTGCTCACTTGCTTTGCTTCTAATGCATGTTTCTGCCGCACTGCCTTAATTCATATCACCCTTAACGACTTTGCACCAGTTCCACAGCGGCTTATATACAGAATCGTGCTTCGTTTTAACGGAAGGTAAGGCAGACAGCTTTCTTCTCACGATGGCGGTTGATTCATTTTGGCAAAATGACATTTGCAATCTCAGCAAATCCCTAAGAGGCTGGCTCATAGGCCAGTCTTCCTCCAATAACAAAGAGCCCTGATATATTAAAAATTATGAGCAGTTCTGAGATGAAGAGAACAAGAATGTCTGTTCAGGCTTTGCCTATGTTTGGATCAAAAGCTGCAAACAGAGCCATTTCTCTTGACATGATAACTCTTGTTCTGAAATTATTGTCATTTAATGTGAGGTGTCAGTTGCACTTTCATTGTGAGATAATCTATATAAATAAAAATGTAATGTTCGTTTGTGGGATTAACATAACCCAAAAACCACTGGACGAATGGACACCAAATTTGGACACAAGACACCTCTTAGGCCAACGAATGACCATCACTTATACAAACATTGAAAAAAACAACAGAAGGGACTTAAAAAGTAAAAAAACAAAAAAAAACATTACAACACGCGTGTGTTTGTGTGTGTGTGTGTGTGTGTAATGTATTGTCGAAGGCTTTCATGGCTGGAATCACTAGGTTCTTGTAGGTTTTTTCGGGCTATAGGGCCATGTTCTAGAGGTATTTCTCCTGACGTTTCGCCTGCATCTATGGCAAGCATCCTCAGAGGTAGTGAGGTCTGTTGGAATTAGGAAATGGGTTTATATATCTGTGGAATGACTGGGGTGGGGCAAAGAGCTCTCTGCTGAAGCTAGGTGTGAATGTTTCAGCTGACCACCGGCACATCTTAACACCTCTCAACAGAACATTTTCCCAGGCTCAGCCAGGCCTTCAAATGCTAATGAAGGTGGTCAGTTGAAACATTCACACCTAGCTCTAGCAGAGAAGAGCTCTTTGCCCCACCCCAGCCATTCCACAGATATATAAACCCATTTTCCTATTTCCAACAGACCTCACTACCTCTGAGGATGCTTGCCATAGATGCAGGCGAAACGTCAGGAGAAATGCCTCTAGAACATGGCCCTATAGCCCAAAAAAAACCTACAAGAACCTTGTGTGTGTAATGTTCGTTTGTGGGATTAAAGTAACTCAAAAACCACTGGGTGAACTGACACCAAATTTGGATACAAAACATCTCTCAGGCCAACGAGTGACCATCACTCATAAAAACACTGGAAAACACAGTGGAAGGGACTTAAAAAGCCAAAAAAAAAACAAAACAACTTTACAACGCATATGCAAAACCACATATATATACACAAACACACACATATATACACATAGGTAAAGGTAAATGTTTTCCCCTGACATTAAGTCCAGTGGTATCCGACTCTGGGGGTTGGTGCTCATTTCCATACACATATGCTGCCTCCTGCAGAGGTTGAGAAGGATGGGGTACAAATAACTGAAACAAATAAAAAATAAATATACACAAGTATATACACACACATATACACACACAAAACACATATACACAGATTGAGAAGGATGGGGTACAAATAACTGAAACAAATAAAAAATAAATATACACAAGTATATACACACACATATACACACACAAAACACATATACACAGACTGGGCCACAGCAACACGTGGCAGGGTGAGAAGGGCGGCATATAAATGTCGTAAATAAATAAAATAAATAATAAATAGTAAACCAATGAAAAATAATGTTGCGTCACTATTCTGGAAATGGCCAACTTTATGGATCTCTCTTTATTTTCTGATTAAAGTATATATTTAATTTTTTTTTCATGAATTAAGCATTTTCCTGCCATTTTAATAGTTTGTGGGATTGGAAAGCAATCTTTGCCAGAGTTACCCATGCCAAGGGGATAGGGCACAAATAGCAAACATTATGACTGAATTAAAATATGATGATGCTCATTGTAATGGAAGTGGATTAGAATGTAAATTCAGAGATCCCGAGCCTCTGGTTGTAGGGTGTAATATTTACTGCCTCTCATTTCTTAAGAGTATAAGGACCCATTTGGTGTATGAGATGCCATACGTTTCCCTGCTGAGTCAGCGGCACTTCTGGTTTTACTTCCTAGGATGGTATGAAGATGAGGTCTTTCACGTCAATGCTTTCGGGTTCCCCCCGACAGAACCTTCTGCTACAACAAGGTATTTATATGCTTGACTTATAAGAGCTGTTAGAGGAGGCTGACCAGAGAGAGCTTCCTTTTCTAACCGTCCCCTGTCCTTCCTTGCAGGGCCTATTATGGAAACACCAACTTCTTTGGAGGCCCTTCCTCGACCTCGGTCAAGGCTTCGGCCAAGCTGAAGCAGCTGGAGGAAGAGAACGAAGACACCATGTTTGTCTTCCTTTCAGACGTTTGGCTGGACCAGGCAGAGGTCTTGGAGAAGCTCCGCATGATGTTTTCAGGTACCTCC